TCTTAACCTCAATACAGAATGTTTCACCTCTGGTCACCGAGATATGTGAGGATTGCTTCCTGCTAACAACCAGTTCTCCAGCAGACACCAGTGAAATGCTCTATAATTTAACTCAGTTCTGACATTATCTATCAGGACATAGTGTCAGACCCTACAGGTTGAGGTCTCAGTCCACAGACTATCCCCCACTTAAGATACCAGTTGCTTCAGCTATAAATCTGGGATTCTGATGACTGCCTCTTTAAATTTAATTTGCTAGAGCAGCTCGCAGAACTCAGAGAAACACTGTACTTATATTTACTGGTTATTTATTTAAAGGATAACAGCCAGACAGAAGAGACATGCAGAGCAAGACATGTGGAAAGAGCGTCCACACCCTCTCTGACACTCACGTGTGTCCACCTACCTGGAAGCTCCCTGAACCCTGTCCTTTTGGTTTTCCGTGGAGGCTTTATCACATAGGCATGATTGATTACATCATTTGCCATTGATTGGGGATCAACACAACCTTCAGCTCCTCTCTGCTTCCTAGGTTGGGGAGGAGGCTGTAAGTTCCAATCCTTTAATCACATGGTTGGTTCCCCTGGCAACCAGCTCCTATCCTGACATTGTTCAAAAGTCCACCAAGAGTTGCCTTATTAGGACAAAAGATGCTCCTCTCACCCAAGAAATTCCAGGGAACTTAAGATGTCTGTGTCAAGAATCGGGGTCAACAACCAAGTATTAGAACAGAAGATTCTCGTATCACCTGTATCTACAAGAGATTTAGGAGTTCTGTCTTAGGAACCTGGGGTAGAAACCAAACATATTTTTCTTTTTCTTTTTATCTTCTTTTTTTAAATCTTATTTTCTTTTTTTATTTATGCTGGAGTCTCACCATATTGCCCAGACTGTTCTTGAACTCCTAGGCTCAAGTGATCCTCTCACCTCAGCCTCCCTAATAGCTGGCATTGCAGGCACATACCACTGTACCTAATTTATATTTCCTATTATATCATAATGTGACACCCCCATACATAAAGCGACACCGCAAAGTAGGACTGACTTCTTTGCTATCTCAGCAGCTGCACCATGTCAGTCACCACTTCCTACATTCTCATGTTCATACTTTCTGTTGTCTTAGGCTTTTTCTCTTGCTGTTCCCTCTGTCTAGAAGGTCGTTCTTCAAGATCTTCGTACGGCTCACTCCCTCACTCCGTTCATGTCTCTGCTCAATTGTCACCTCCTCCTATAGGTCTTCCCAGCCATCCCATGAGTAAAATAGGGTCTCCTGTGCCCTCTTTCTTCTTTACCTCTTTACTCTCCTTTGTCTTTCTCCATTGCAGTTAACCCCACTTGAAATGATTTGTCTGATTTGGATTGTCCTCTGTGCCCACATGAACTCGATGTGCACAGGGACTTTCTGTTGTCCTTGGCATATCACCGGTGCCTGGCACATAGTAGATGCTCAATAATTATCTGCTGAACAGGTGAATTTACTACCACATTACACTGTAATCTGTATCAGATGTGCCTGGAGGGTAAGAGCAATATCAATGTCTGATTCATTATTAGATCACTTCCCACATGTTACCCATAATAGTATACAGTAAATATTTGATTGAAACACAAAGGTCAGTAGTGAAGAGCACATTTCCCAGGGTCCATGTGACTTGACTTCTGTTTTAATCCGAGGTTGCTGAGCACCCACCATTTGCCAGGCACTGCCAGACACTTTTGCCAGACTTTTTAGCTTCTCTAAAGCTCACAGTGATTTTCACATCCTCAAATTTATTATTACAGTTAGAACCTTGGGACTAAGACTAAGAACCTTGGAAAAGTTCTGCAACTTCCCCAACAGCTACCTCCTTTCCTGTCACTGCTGTAGCTCCCACCCTCTTCTCTACCCATGGTCATCCTCATCCCTGCTCCTGCTGATCACTCATCTGAGGTTAAAGCCTCTATGCCCAGCGTCTTTGGCTTTCATTCATTCACCCACTAATTCATTCACTCACTCAATCCTGAGCCATCTTGTATCCTTCAAATCCTTGTTGATGGTGAGGAGATAGTCCTACCTTTTCTACCTGTACATTGTGCTCCATATAATTCCTTAAAGTCGCCTGACTTCCCTCCTTCTCCTTGTGGCCCTAATTCCCTCAACTTTGGAAGGACTGGCATAGTCTCCTTTCCCCATGGTGACTTTCATGCCATGTTGAGCTGTCATCCTTCCACATTTTTCCACAGACCAGCAGGGTCCACTTCTACCACCCTCCATGCAGGTCATGTGCTTTACATTGCTGACTTTGGCCCTTCACTTAAGTATTTTCCAAATCCACCTTCCCCTTAGTGATATTTCTGGTACTCCTGAGTGATGGTATAGTGGAGTAAGCACTGGAGTAGAAGTCAGAAGAGCTCACTAGGAGTCCTCACTCTCCCACTTAGCAGCCATAACACCTGGGAAATCACCCGACCCCACTAAGCCTTAGTTTCTTCCTGGAATGTGGTAACAAGGATACCCGCCCTACCTAACCACTTCGCAGAGCTTATTGAGGAATGAAATGAGGTATGCAGTGGTAAGTTAACTTACAAATTGTGACTGTTACATAGATGGCAGGTGTAATTGGAATTACCCAGTCTCAGCAGCTTTTCTACGGCGTGCCAAACTTTGGATCTCCTTTTCACCTGAAATGTCTTTCTTTGTAGTCCCCTGGCTTCACTTGCCTTCTGACTCAGCCTCAACACCAAGGGCAGTTTTTTCTTTAGTCCTTATACGAATAGCCTTAGAATTCTGATCATTGACCTTCCGCCATACCCCTTCGGTCATTTCTCACTCCTGAGCAGCCCCTACCAGACACTCAACCTTTGTGCTGCTGAGCTCTACAAAAAACAAAAAGTCTTGAATTGTTTTTGTTACCTTTTCAGATACCTACTCTTAATATTGTGTGTGTAGCTGTCTCTCTCTCTCTCTCTCGTTCCTAAATTCTCTTTCTTCTAAATATGCTCCATTAATTCTTACTCTTAAAATAATTTTTTTGGTTGTGCTTTCACTCATTTTGATATTTTTGAATGACTTTTCTTCAATTAGGTTTCAAGTCCAAGTGTAGGTTTTGGCAGGACTGACTCCATAGTAAATCCAAGAATATTATTTATTAAACTTATAGAACCCATAGAGATACTCTGAAATCTGGGTCTTCTTTCAGCTTCCGTCTTTGTCTCTCCCTTCAGCCCTTTCCTCTGTCTCCCTTGTAGGTGCATGCCTTTTCCTGTGGCAGCGTATCTGACAGTCCAGCTATGTCCCCAGAACCAAAAGAAAAACAATGACTCTTGAGAGGTGACACCCTGGATATTCTTACCCAACAGCTTCCTTTCCTGTTGAATGCATCTCTTCAGACCATCCCTGCACATTTCATTAGATGGAAATGACAGGAAGTGTTTGTGGTGGGGAAGGATATACTTGGTCACTTTTGAAAGGGTCATGATTAAGATACATTGAGACTCCTTCTCTCTACGTTTTCTTCTTTCTTCTAGTTCTTTCTTATCTTTTTTTCTTTTCTTGCCATTACCACATAGTTCTCGAATAGTGTCTTTGATACTGTCACTGGCCAGTCTTTATATAAAGAATGGGTCACCATTTTTAGTGCCAACTCTTATGTTTAAAATTGGTAGGCCAGGTGTGGTGGTTCACACCTGTGATTCCAGCATTTTGGGAGGCTGAAGCAGGCAGATCACTTGAGCCCAGGAGTTTGAGACCAGCCTGGGCAATATGGCCAAACCCTGTCTCCACCCAAAAAACAACAATAATAACAACAACAAGAACATCAAAAAATTAGCCAGGCGTGGTGATATGTGGCTGTAGTCTCAGCTACTTGGGAGGCTGAGGTGGGAGGATTGCTTGAGCCTGGGAGATGCAGGTTGCAGTGAATCGAAATCACACCACTGCACTCCAGCCTGGGTGATGAGACTCTGTTGCTAAATAAATAAAATTGGTAGCAAGTCATTGGTCCAAAGAGCAGCCAGCTCCCTGTTATGGTACCCCAGACTATGATAGGACATTTCTCTTTCCTTGTCTTGCTGTTTTCCAGTCTTCTTTCTGCCCCATTTCTGCCTTAGACTTGCCAGTAGTTTTCTGCTCAGCTTCGCTTGGAGAAGTAACAACAGCCAATGTGCTTCATACCCTACAAAAGGACATGTCCCTCTTTCTTTCCATGTGCCCAGAAAGGGCATTTTGGAGACAGTTGGCTAAGAGGAACTGGAAGTAGAAAGAGAGAAAGATATGAAGAGCTTGTGTGAGGCCTACAATTCTAGTTCTTTGCCCTCAGAATAATAAAAGGGGCTTGCTGTCACTGTTTTAGAGGTTCTAGAAGATTGGTCAACTTTCCTCTTAATGATTCAAGGCTGGATGATGAACCAAATGCATTACCCACTTCCTTTGTGTTGTAAGTAAGCTCCATTGTATGTGATGGAACTTGAATTGTATCCTAATAGTAAATGAAGCAAAGGGAAAAAGTAGTTGAGGGAGACAAAATGAACAGTCTTTCCACAAATCTAATATTTCACTTCTTTATAGGTGCTTCTTGCACCTCACTTCTGGCAGAGAAGAGGTGGGTATTAGATCTGGCCAATTACCAGTGCCCTGGAGGTGGCCCAGTGACTTAGAGAAGGCTGGTTTAATGGAATCTTACCTGGCCTTTCAGCATCAGAATCACTTCTGGCCTTATTGCCATGCTTGAACCTGACATCCATTCTCATTGGGTTTGCTTAAGAGTAGGGCAAGCTGCAGGTGCTGTGTAGCATCTGCCTCAGGGATGAGCCTCTTGGCTTTAGAGCAGAAACCTTGATAAGGGCATGTATTTAACCACCTGCCTCTAAGAAGAAATAGAGGCGGTTTCCGAACAGGTGTACAAATCTAAATGTTTTCTTTAGAAATCTGAATGCCACCTGCCATGACAAGCTGATCTCCCTTCTGCTTCTTAAATGGCACACTAACTTCCTGACGCAAGTGAAAAATATAACTATAGAACTATTCAAAACTAGAAAATCATGTTGATACCAAGTAGTTTAATATAATGGAATATGAACTCGGCATCACCAGGGACATGATGGGGTAACTTGCCAATATCCCAAGTGAAGCTCAAGTTCTTTTACCATAGTGGCTGCCTCTCGTCTTGAAGGACTTGCTCTCTAGAGAGGAAGCTCATTCCATGTTCATGCAATGTTACGGTTAAGAACTAGTCCTGTGGCAACAAACTGCCTGATTGGAATACTGGCTTCCCTACTTACTAGCCGTTTGAGTCAGTACTAAACACTTAACTTTTCCGAGCTTTGTTTTCTTCATCAGCAAAATGAGAGCCATAACAGTAACGATTTCATAGGGTTGTTGAAAAGATTGAATGAAAAAAAAAATGTATTTAAAGCTCTTAGAATAGACTCCCTGACTGTCTGAGGATAGACCGCCATCATGAATGACATGGTAACTATCTGAACTAGAAAGTTCATGACCAACCGATGACTTCAGAGGAAACAAATGATCATTGATGTCCTTCACCCCAGGAAGGCAACAGTACCATACCTGAGACAGAAATTCGGGAAAAACTGGCAAAAATGTACAAGACCACACTGGATGCCATCTTTGTACCTGGATTCAGAACTCATTTTGGTGGTGGCAAGACAACTGGCTTTGGCATGATTTATGATTTCTTGGATTGTGCAAAGAAATATGAATCCAAACATGGCCTTGCAAGACATGGTCTGTATGAGAAGAAAAAGACCTCAAGAAAGCAACGAGAGGAACACAAGAACAGAATGAGGAAAGTCAGGGGGACTGCAAAGGCCAATGTTGGTGTCGCCAAAAAGAAATGAAGTGTCTAGCAGTGAGCTGGAGATTGGATCACAGCTGAAGTGGTAAAGGCATTGCAATGATGTTATCTATAGCCATTGTGGATTTTTCACAGGAAGATTAATAAACTAAAAACTTTCATGTGGAAAAAAAAAAGCTCTTAAAATAATGACTGATATAATAAATATGCTTAATGGATAGATGTCAGCTCTTCCAACAATTTATTATTATTATTGTAATTATTATAGTTATTATGACAATGTCTTGAATCCATAAAGAACAAATCTAACTTTTTTTTCATATGACAACTTCTTCCCTGTTTGAGAAGTGCTAAAGTCCTCAGTCCCACATAGTCTGCTTGTCAACGTAATTCTACGGAAATGGCAAAAAGTTGTAGATGACAGTAAGTTCAAGGCACTGAGGTAGGTTTAGTATACTCAAGCCCATGTGGGGAACATACGGTAAGATATTTTTAATATCTGAGTAATGATGCCTTCTTCCAGGAATTTCTATCCCCAAAAGAGAGGTTTTTAAAGAGTAGAAGTAAAATAAGTCTAAAAAGAAAATGGTTGGGTTTTTCTTTGCCGGCTCAAAGGTAATCCTTGCTTTATGATGCATAAAAAGTTTTGCTTTTTTGTGTGTCATTTATGTGATAAAATCTTAGACATTTTGAAATGAGAGTGTGACTTTTTTCAGAATCATCCCAAACGTACAAAGCAAGCCGGATATCCTCATTTGCTGATAGATGGTGTTGCACGAATAGCCTCATAACTTTCAGAGACCATGGACGATCTGGCCCGAAAAGTGCCCATCTGTGGCAGCGGCTCAGGGAGGCCCCCAGCCTCTGCAGACCTTCCCACCGCTCCCCAGCCATGATGCCCAGGAACTTCTCCAGGAATTTGGTTTTGGCAGGCCCAGGGGCTGGGAGAGAAATCCAAGTGCCTAGTCTAAGGGGGTTATAACCCCGTAAATATGTTTATGGCCCATTTTATTGCCGACTTCTGGCTTTAAAGGAGAATCCACTGTTTTGTTTGAGAATAAAAATCAGTTTCTCTCAGACAGTCACGCAGGAATTTGTTCCCTGGGAAGATGACAGACCAAATCTTCATTAAACTGTTGAGGAATGAGGGCGAGCAGGGCTTCCTCTGGCCCTTCCCACAGTGGTTGGCAGCAGTTAGGCTAGGATGTGTGGGCCCCTCAGAGCCTTTTGTTTGGTTTCTATGGCTCTAACCTCAATTAGCTGCTCTGCATGGAGAGGAGGGACAATGCAGCTTTTAACCCAAGTCCAACGGCTTCAGTATGGGTCTCTCTTTTCCCCCCTCTATCCATGGCTGGATTTAGGCCTAGAGGCCTTCTTTGTGAAGCAATTTGAGGGTCTCCAGTGGAAGTTCATTGTTTCTATTGGTGGGCAGCGGATGAGGGTATGGGAGGAAAATGTCTAGGGTCTAACAACTTCACCTGATACTGGTTCGCGGCTCTGTACCCTCCCTCCCAATAGTATTGAACTGTGGTCATGCAGAAATCTGTGCTGGAGTCACTGACACATCAGATCCAGTCCTGGCTCTGCCTTTTCTAGGCAGTTTTCCAGCCAGTGAAATGGGGTTGGTCCAACCCCCTAGAACCTCTGAGTGGAATAATTAAAAGAACAAATGTAAAGAAGTCAGCGCAGTGTCTGGCGCATAATTCTTTTATCCACGGTTTCCAAAGACACATGGGGCTAAAGTCTCTTTCTCGCTTCCAGCAAGTACCCAAAGCATCTGTGGCAGTCATAAAGAAATAATACAGTCTAGCAGTCACTGAGAAAGGCTGGTTTTTTATCTCAGGAAGAGAAAAGCTTGAATTGCTTTAGCCTTGAGGTATGTACACATGCCGCTGCATGTGCACACACAAGCCTGCACACATATACACCGGTTTCTCAGGTGCTTTTGACCCATAGCTGGATCGCTGAGTACCACCTGCATGTTTTGCCCCATGGCTTTGGTGGTGCCATTTCAGAGTGGACCAATGGGAAATTATTTAGCAGACCCCAAATGTGAGCACAGCTCTTAGTCATAGTCTCTTCTGCTTCGTTCCTTTCTCTAACTTAATCACTAAGCAGCTTATTATGGCTCGTTCTCCAGAAAGGTAGAGAGAAGTCTATTGCATAGTCCTGTCTGTAAGGCCAGCTAATCCTTGGTCATGCAGGACTTCTGAGTAGGTGCTAATAGATGGTGTGAAAGGAGGTAATTTTTGCCCTGAGGGAGCTAAGCTAGGAAAATAAAACTAGCACACCTGGAATAATTAGCCACCAATTAAGTGCTAAATCATGTGCTACTGACAGTGTTGGAGTGCAGTGTGGGTGAGGGGAAATTTGAGGGTGGACACCGGCTCTCTTGGTGCTTTGGCAAGATACAGCTGTGCCTTGCTGAACAATTGAGCCATGTTGTAAAAAAACCATTTTTAATAAATATGTGACAGCTTTTCCCACTTCTGTTTAAAAATATTAGATCAGAATTTTAAGACATTTTATTATAAAACACTACCATCATGTAAATGAAATTTTAAGAAAGAAAAAAGACACCATCTCTAAATCCCAAAGCCCTTACACAGTTCATTTATCAAAGACCATAACTCAGTCAAAGACCAAAGACCATATCAAAGACCATAACACACAAAGGGAGTGTTTGTGAGTGGCCACCACGACTGTTTACCATCACAAGTATCCAGATATGGCTTTGTAAAGGGTGCCAGACCAGCACCTCTCACATGCCAGGTTCTCCACTGCCTTATTGCATTGAATTATTCTCACGGTGCCGAGAGGAGGTGGTGGTATGCTGAGGCTTGGCGTGGTTGAATAACCAGGGGAGTGCTAAGGAGCATCCCACGTCAGAGTGTGTAGATGTTTTTATTAGGCCATAGAGCCTCCCTGAGATACGACAGGATAGACAGGTGGATACCTAGGATAAAGTACTTCTCCCCCACCACGGGATGGTGTTAATATTCCCCCTCTCCCTCCTGTGGAGGAAGACTACCCTTACCTTACAAAGGGTATTTTCATTCCTAACATATCAGCGCCAGCAAGTCCTGTGGTTTCTGCCCACCTGATTTTCAGGTAAAGCAGGCTTACCTGTTGGTACTTGTGCAGCTTTGAAGAGTCGGCTGTGGGCCCAGCTGGTCTAAGACAAATTAAAGCTGACTCAGGTTCTCCTGTCTAGGATTTCCCCCACCCCTTCTCTGTCTTTCCCACTAAAGGGTTTAAGCCATACGTAGGCTGGTTGATCCATACTTTTGGTCTGAGTTCACTGTATGTTCTAGTTTCCTAGGGCTGCTGTCACAAATTACCACAAACTGGATGACTGAAAACAACAGAAATGTATTCTCTCACAGTCTTGGAGGCTACAAATCCAAAGTCAACATGCCAGTGGGTTTTCTCCCAGTTGCTGGCAGTCCTTGGCTTTCCTTGGCTTGTGGCAGTGTAACTCCAGTCTCTGTCTCCATCTTCCCATGACGTTTTCCCCTGTGTCTTTATGTCTCTTCTTATAACGACACCAGTGGCTGGATTTAGGGTTCACCCTAATCCAATATGACCTCGTCTTAACTTGATTACATCTGTAAACACCCTATTTCCAAATGAAGTCACATTCATAGGTTCTGGGAAGTAGGACTTTGACATCATAGTCCATTTTGTGTTAATTTATAAAGAAAAAGCTATTTGGCTCATGGTTCTTCAGGTTGTATAAGAAGCATGGTGCTGGCATCTGCATCTGTGGAGGGCCTCAGGCTGCTTCCACTCATGGTGGGAAGCACAAGGGAAGCTGGCATGCGCAGAAGTCACATGGGGAGAGAGGCTGTGAGAGAGTGAGAGGGGAGGTGCCGGGCTTTTCTTGACAGACAGCTCTCGTGGGAACTAATAGAATGAAAACTCACTTGCCCCCTGGAGGGCATTGATCTATTCATGAGGCATCCGCCCCATTACCCATACATCCCCCATTAGCCACCCCCCTTCAGCGCTGGGGATCCAATTTCAGTATGAGATTTGGAGAGGACAAACATCCGAACTGTAGCAGATATCAGCCTGTTTTTCAATGGACACAGTTTAACTCAGTACACCGAGTGAACCCTCAAAGCACCTCAGACCAAGTCAAGGTGATAGCAATGCTGGTACATCTTTCTTTTGGAGAAAATTGATGTCTTCTTACCTCTCTGTAGATATAGTTGAGTTGATTCTGTTCCTCAACCGTGGCTTACCAGTAGTACTTATTTTCAAAATAGCTGACTGGGATAAATGAACCTGGGAGCAAATCATGCCTTTTTCCATTCCTACAACCAATTAAATGTGAGTACATGAATGGAGATTTTGTTTTGTTCACTTCTATATTCCCAGTATCTTGAGCTTATTAAAGCCACCATCAGCTTGAGACAAAGTAAAGCCAGTCATCCCTGAAGTTGTTCACTTGATATTGATTGAGCAGCTGCAGTTTACCAGGCACTGTGCTTGGTGTGGGGGAAAGCAATGATGAAACTAGTAGTGATTACAACTTACTGAGTATCTACTATTTGTCAGACACTGAAACATACTCTTTGCATACTTTCTCATGAATTCTCATGAAAACTATAATGTAGGCTTTATTATCTCCATGTTACAGATGAAAAAAACAGGGTAAGAAGATGAAAAGCGTTGACTTAAGTCTTAGAGCTCACAAGTGGTAAAATTAGGTTTGAACTTGAGTGGTGTGCTGTGGACCAGTCCTTCACCACTCTTTGAAGGTTTCTGAATGGTGTTTTCCAGTTGTTGTTGTTTTACAGAAATCTGAGTAGTTATTTATTAAAACAAATAATCTTCTCAGTAAAATAGATTTTAATGAAATATGTAGGTTGAAAAAATATATGTTATGTAACATATCATGGCCAAAATAGAAATGGGAAATGTATGCTTTCATTTTAGATAAGTATAAACCTTAGTATTAATAGCATCCCAGTTAATACATGAGGAAGAAATGGAAGAAAATCATTTTTCAGTCCCTAGGAAATAATACCAAGCCATTGATTTTCGGTGGCTGCTAAGTGCACAAATACCAGAACGTATCAAACGCCAGTTGCCTCTTGATGGAAGCACATAAGACTGCCTTTCAACTAGCTAGTCTGTCCAAAAATCAAATCTAAATGTGATCAAGCTT